TCTTATTCTGAGAGGGGACAATTTGTGCTAGAACATCTGAGGGCAACAGTTGAAAGTGTTTGGTGGTGACCTGCAGGGCGATGTGGCTTCTGCTCAGAGGCCAGGCACAGCCACACATATCCCCATTCTGCTTTCAGCGTTCTTGTGTTGGTGGTTAAACAAAAGCCTTTTTCTTTGAAGAACGTTATGTTGATCTATATTTAACAATCTCATTTGTGCTTGATTGTTCTGGCACATGTCCAGTTTGCACTCGTGTTAACCATAATTAGACTGTGTTGACTATAGCATGGTTGAAATTGCTTGTGCAGAATCTGATTCAAGTTTCCTGCCAAGAAAGGTTTACACATATACAAGGAAAATGTCTTAGCATTTTAATGCATGACAAGAAAGTTAATATTATAAAAGAAACCGGGCAGGAATAAAATAAACAAAAATAAGAAAGAATATTACATAAATTACAATTTAACACTTTAAAGTGTACTGAGAGTCAAGAGTTGCTTGAAGTCTTTCATAAAGGGGCGGCCCTTATTTTGTAATTCTTTGCTTGACCATGGTTTACAAATTTCTCTTCCCACCATATACATTCCTCTCTATATGTCCGGGCCTGTTAGATTAAGTAGATACACTGTAGGTACAAAGGTGACTGCCTGAGACTTGTAATTCTTTACATGGGGTATTTTTGCAGGGTTTGCAATTAAAATCCACTCTGCTCAGCTGTAAATTAGAGCCCAAATGACCCTAGGCACAATCTCATACAGTGCCCAAGAGGAGCATTTAATATCGAGATCTTTGATTGCCTCATCTTACCGGGCAAGGCCACCGACCTCAGCATCAATCTTTCTGATTGGCTTAATGACGATGGTTTTGACCTCATTATCCTTGGCCCTCTGACTCTACCCCCCCCCCTCATTTATCTCATTTGTTTCCTCTGCTTCTTTCTCCCAGTTTAAGAACTGCATATGAGCCTCATACTGGGCTTTCTTTCAAACTTGAATATTGCCCTGTCATGTCAACCTCATATGATATAATGGAGGATGATATAATGGCAGCAGTGATTCCTCCTCTTCTGGATTTGCAAAGATCTATTATATTGTCATTTATGTGCTATCAGGGGTTTAATATTTCAAATATTGTTTTTTAAACCGTCTGCTCAGGATTGTAATAGTAATGAAATCTGCCTTTCATCCTTTACACTGCCTGTCAGTGGAGACCTTAAAGCTCAAATTAAGAATTTAATGATGGTTATGAATCAAACTAAAATTGATGGTGATCATTTTTATAACTTATGAAAGCAAACAAGACTGTCAGGGATTGGACTGACTAATTATGTATGCTAATTATGATATTAGTACAAAGCTATATATTGTAAATATAGCTGGTTTTAACGTCTGTTTCTGCTGTGTCAGTGTCAGACAGAGTTTTACTTCACACCACGTGTCACTGCAAAGATCTAATGTGAGTTAAAAACAGGGCAGGTGTAGGGTTTTTTAAAATCAAAAATCATTTACTCATGTAGAGGTAGAAGAAGAAAGGTAGGAGTCCACAATGAAAGTTCCTCACAGCAGCATCTTATGGTAATAAAACTACTATTTCAGAGGCTTTACAAACTGAAAATGTTTTACTTCAAATATACTGATCAGACTATTCAGGCATATATATCACTTTATCAGTATTAGCAATGGCTTCCAAAGCTCTATCAGTTTCATCTAATCCTTTCTGTTTTAGCCCCTTCGGAGAGAAAACACTGCATATTTTCTCTGGCAATGTTTAAACATCACTCTCAAGGTTGTGTCTGAGAGGCAGTTTGGGAGTTGTTGTCTTACCTCCCTTCTCTCTTTCATGCTGACTCCTTCTCTCTCTGGACTCTACTGTGAATAATATCAAAGCACCGCTTCTGACATCCCTTCTATTACAGTAATACCCTGAGAGCACTCCAACAGCTATATAGTGAAACAAACTCCACTTGATACAGTGACCAAAACAGCCTGACATGTTTTTTTATATTGTGTATTTCAGGTGAAACACCACATCACTTTTTTTTAATACTTACTTTCTAAAACTTCTCTGTATTTATGTTGAAGGACTGTCATTTTTTTGGTACTCCCTGCAGTTTTTCATACTACAGTGCTTTTGTGTTTACCAACTCCTGAAGGAAATATTTGGCTGCTTATGATCTACCCTGCACTCACTGGCATATATTTGTCTGCCATCCGGTGTTGGGCAGGTAGCATGCAGTCAATTTTTAACAGCGTCGTTGGAAACAAGGTTGATGGGAGAGACAAAAGGAAACCATAAAGTTGCTGGTTTATAGAGCAAAACAATGAGTTGACAGATGCTAAAAGAGTCCACTGAGCTGAGTGGAAACACAGATACAGTACAGATCATTTTGGGGCTTGTCACAACAGGCAACCCCTACTATACTCATTCTATGCATTTTTATAAAATTAATACTAATTAGTTGTCGCTTTCATTTTCTTGACATGGTAAAGGTATAAACATTTCTCCAACACATTAATGGCCAATGAAACTTTGATACCTGAGTAAAACTTTTTAAGATAATCTTTCTCCTAAGCTTCTTATAAATAAAAAATTCAGTGATATTTGTAAAAAAAAAAACACAACAAGTCTGTGACTGTGGAACAAATTGTACAGTTAGAAGATTGTTAATATAATTGAGGTGTAATTCAAACTTCAACAAGTTGACCTAGACGACAGAGGGATTGGTGCTGTGGAAAGCAGTGTTGCCTCTCAGCAAGAAGGTTCTTGGTTTAAACCTGTCGGTTAGTGGGTCTTATTGTTTGGTGTTTGCATATTGTCCCCATGAAGTCATTGGTTTTCTCTGAGTACGCTGACTTCCTCCCACAGTCCAAAGACTTTCTCATTAAGTAAATTGGTAATTCTTAATTGCCTGTAACTGTGAAGGTGAGTGTGATTGTCTGTCCTGTTGTGCTAGAGCTATGACTGGCTGGTGACCTGTCCAGAATATGTTTTCTTCTTGTGAATCACAGAAGACATACAGGTTGAAAAATGGAAGTGGGATCAGTTGTGTTAATATGTAACCAAAATAAATAATTCAAAATTATGACATTAAAAGATTCCAAAGTTAAATTATTATATTCAGTGCTGTAATTTGTTCCATTATGTTTTATTTTAAGTTTGATAATACTATATGTACCCAATGACCGTTAACAATGACATCGAAACCCTAATAATCAGCAACTTTACCTAACGTAAGCTTCATTAAAAAAGTTGTTTTTACATTCCCATCTGAAGGATTTTAAAGTCAATGCCGCCCAAACCTCTCCATCCACAATTTCTGTGGATTTTATTTAGCTGCAACAACAATGGCTTCCTTGCATGTTTTGCATTCATAGGATTAAGAGTTACTTATCAATTGTTTAGCGTGTTGCCTTGTGTCTACTCAGTGTTAAGGTGTATGGTTCTACTGATTTTACAACACTAAACATACATGAGAAAGATGGTAGAGAAAAAAATGATGGGCAATTGTTCCAGTCTTTCATGCTTTTTCTCATCCTCAGTTTTGTTCCAAGCTTTTGAAATGAAACCCACCTGAGAGATTCCAACCTTTGCAAAGAATCACTTCCCCTGCTTAGTTTATGATAGTCCGAGTTGGCTGTGTCCATTAGCCTACATCTAAATTCTACAAATAGAGTAAAAATTACAATATGTTGGGATGAGATCCACTTTAACTCTTAAGGTCTTAAGAGGTCGTGGTTATTAGAAAGTCGGGTTGTGTGCAGAGAGAGCAAACTCATTCCCTTAAATCAGTCATGCATAGTAAAAAAAAATCAATGAACAAAGATGGATGACTGTTGGGACACAGGAAACAGGTCTACACTCTGTACAGCTTGCTTGTTCCCGTGATGCTGATGAAGGTGAATTCTGACACTCACAAAACCGGTTTTGCTTTGTTGTCATAATATCTTGCCATTAGGGACAGATGACTCACAGTTAACACATCACTGCGGCATTATTACAGACATAGAGTAGCATCTGGTACAGCAGATAAAACTTTACCAGCAGCATTCTGCATAGTCATCACATGGTTAATGTGCTTTTTAGTCGTTTTACTAAAGCGACACACCACCACCCACTGGTAGTTATGTGTTGCCAGTTCAGCTCAAAATACGGAAAACTATAGAGAGACTGAAAATTAACATTGCTCTAAGGTCAATAGTTAATTCATAAAGTCTGATCCCTAATATGCCCTCCAATCTCTTTGGCCGCTGCATGAAAACATGGTTTCTGAATTCATGTTCTTGGTTTTCACCCCTCGTGAGGTGGAGAAATGACGATTATTCTTTAACCATCCTCCAAAGATCCTAGTGAGAAAGACTGAACTCTTGTCCCCACTGAACTCATCTCATCCCCAAACCTTGTCTCCCCCCCTCTCCCTACTCACACTGTACTTCAAACAGCTTTGCACAGCATGTTATGCTGCATAGCAAAGAGTGACTGCGTCCCTTCCCATGTTGAAAAGGCGCCTGCGTTTCAGGGGGCTTGTCAGTAGGAATCTGTCAAAAGTACTCAGCCGAGTTACTGGGGCCTGAGGACTACAATGCCCCCAGACTAAGAGGGCTTACCCCGCTCACCCCAGCACTTCACAAAGATATCAACTTTGCAGGAAAAGAAACCCAGTACTCTTAGCTGACACCCTTTCTGTATTGTGTGACCTTAGCAATGTCCACATTACACTTCTACACGGCTCTTTTTTCCTGTTCAGGATTATGCCTAAGGGAAGGATTTATGAGCTCTGTGTGCTCTCCCTGCCGCCTCTCCCTCCTCCTTCACTTAATCACGTCACCTTTCATTTCTTTAGGTAAGCAAACAGGCCTAGGGTTTGCTTCTTTCCCATTGGCTACATCCAGATGTGTCTTCAAAAGGAGGGGAGGAGCTTGAAACGGAGTGAATGAGACCTCTCTGAAACTTTCCCTGCCTCTGAGTGTAAACTTCCTGATGAACAGTTGATGGCTGAACTGTTACAGAGTAGTCAGACTCTTACAGATTCTTAAGGAGATCTGAAGATGACATGATCATGTAAGGGAACGTGTGAGCTCGTCTTGGATTACATTTACTGTCAACTCAGAATGGGAGTACTCAGCAGATGATCTGTGATGTTTCAATAACAACATTAAGGTAAAATCCTCATTTAAGACTGAATGTTTGCACCAGCCCTGAATATTTGAGTATGCTAAGATTTAAGATTACAGGGCAAGTATATGGAATCAAATCCTTCATTTATATAGCGTTAATCTAGGTAGTTTTCTATAGTATACAAGAAGGACAACTTTCTTAGCGGTTCACAACTTATGGAATAATAAGATATGGGATAAAGAGTTCATTTGGTGGAGTGATAGGGCCAGGGAGGGCCACTACTATACCACCTGCATGGAGATAAGGGAATGTCAACAATATAACATTCCCATCAGAAACACAGATGAAGGTGCAGGTGCAGGAAAAATATTTTCTTTTTAGAGAAGAAACTGTTCAATCCCAGAGAGTATGAGCAAGACTCCTTCATGAACCCTGCTCTACTTCTTGAGAGTTTTTAAGGCAAAACAGAAGAATGTGCTCCCAAATCCTTTAAGCAACTTTTTTTAATCAGCTCGTCTGGTTTGAGCTAGTCGGGAGCAAGGGGGAGAACACAAGGAGGGGGAGAAAGTTCACTCAAGAAAACAAAAGGATCCTTTTTTTTCCATTTGTTGAGCTTTCAGAAGTTTGTAATAGTGTCTCTCTGTCACACCCAGACACACAAGAGAAGCCGTTCTTGTTTGATTCCTAACAAGAAATGGGATAGTCTGTGATTTGAAATGCTCCATTTCTCTGCCGCCAAACACCTTGTTTCCCCCCCCTCCCACCACAATCATGTGCTTTCAGAAGATTATGTTTAGGGCCTCTAAAATCTAAATCCTTGTGTTGCTTCGGCAGTTTCAAAATGTTGCTACGCCCATGTGAATGTATTTGTAGTTGAATGCAATTTACTTGGAAAGGCATTCAGGAAATCAGATTTTAATCGTAAGCAACTCACTTGTTTACTTCAGCTTCGGCAGAAATCAGCATCCTGGAGTCAGCAACAGAAAAGTTAAACGTGATAAATATTCAGAAGCTGCCTGCATACAATAATTCAAAACAGTTTATTACACTTAGGGAAACAGAGCTGTGATATATTGTGTGTTTATGTTTTCAGTAGTTTTAGTTAATGTGTCATTCAGAGTTTCTTTCCCTATACTTGTCACATGTTTAATAGATGAAAAAAAACCTTGCCTTGTTTTCTTCTTTTTTCCCTGAATGATGTTGGGCACAAACAACCCACTCAGTTCTCAAAAGAAAAACAACTTGAATCAGTTCGACTGATGTCAGAGATTAACTTTCCGCTCATTTGTCTCATATTGTTTTTCATACAGTTAAAAATACATCTCAGTGCTCAGAGGAGAGCAGATATGGCTCATCAGTTACACTCATACCAGGACGGATGAACTTCAGATGATGTAAACAAACACAGATCAGGCTTTGAATTACATTGGACACACCAGGGTAAACTGTGTGTACTTTTGTTGAACTACAAGAGCTGTATCCTCAGGGCGTATAGGGCCTGTTTATTGACGGTGCCTTGAATAAAGAGTTAGACACACCAGCTTTATGTTCTTCAGAAGAAGGCTAAATACCAACCCTGTAACCACAAGTATTCATTACTTAAAGTTCATTTTCAGTTTAGCTAGAAGTCAGTGTAAATATTGTGATAACACATGAATCGTGTTCATCTAACCTCAACTAACATTAAACTACCAACTTACAAAAATGGTCCGATTGAAATTGCCAATGAGTCAAAAATGATATACCTCATAAGATCATGCAAGTATAGCTATACTGAATTATGTAGTAGAATGAGCAGGGGTTACTTACTACTCTCAACCAGAAGGTACAGGGTTCAAATCCTGCTTCAGTCAAAAATGAAAAGTATTGTGTTGACAAAATTCCTTAATTGAAAATAAAAGGTGAGTTAACTGAAATCAGAAGTCGGACTGATTTTTTTATTAATGCAAAAAAAAAATGTATTTCAACTCATGGTCTCAAATTCAGTCACCTTAAATGATTATGGTTGCCTGGATACCAACTTCTAACATTAAGAATGACCAAACCCAGCAAGTGAACTGATTTTAGATACATGACTGAATTTACTTAGTTTTCTTTCCTATACTAACAGTTAATAAGAAAACGTTATATTGGTCAAAATGACACTTTCCCAATAAAATTAACTTGAACTAAAAGAAACGGTGTATACTTTCATTAACAGGGAAAACGTCTGAATTAACTCCATTGTAAATGTAGTGTATACTGAACACTGAGTTGCTACTCTACATCTTCACCATCTAACCTAACTTTAAGTAACAGTCACACTGGGCTAGAACACCATGTAACATTAGAACTTTTTTTGTTGTTGTCAATTTCAGCTTAAAGCCAGAGGTCATTTTTTTTACATTTGTTATTATTCATTTATTTTTCTTTGCTAACATTATTGTAAAAACCGGATCTACCACGCAGCAAAATCATCTATGTTGGACCCAATTTGACTTTTGATGTGACAAACACAGAATGTTTTTGTGTTTTCTACAGCTTGTTGGCATGGTGTACAGGGCCCACAACACTTTAAATAGTAGAACAGTCTTTAAAAACATGGTGATTCAGAGTTAAAAACACAAATCCAGAAACATAAAACGTCAAAACACTGTATATCCTCTGTATCAGAAACATGGGCAGTTCTAGGCAGGGGCCAACAGGGGCCAGTGCCCCTGTAACACTGAGCTTTGTCCTCCCTGTGGCCACCCCTCCAAAAGGAAGAACCCCCCTAATAACACATACACAGTATTTGACTGAACAAGCGGACTCACAATCTAATATTAAATACTGTTACTGAAACAAATATAAATCATGGTGTTTAATGATGTGTGCTATTATTTGGCATAATATAATATAATTTTTTTAAAGCGACCATCTTTGTCTATTCTTCACCTGGGTTTAATGTTCCCCTCTGACAAAACAACTGGCACCAGTTTGGCCCCCCTCAGTAAAAGTGGTCTAGAACCGCCTCTGTCAGAATCAAAGTACTCCAGGAGGGAGTGAGAGGTGGTTTAGGATCCATTTCAATTTCCTAAAGAGAGAGAAGGTGAGAGAGAGAGGAGAGACCAGCACCAGTTTATTGGATATCAGATAAAAAATGATAGACACTGCTGGAGTGTTATTGAGAGCCTGGCCTCACTAACTTCTTTGAGAAAACTCTATTACGTGTACTAAAACCCTCACAAAACAAAAGTCTCTGATATTTGTAAAGCTGGATCATATTTTATGTGGACATGGTTAATGATGTAAAGATAACTTTGCATTAAAATCTGGTTCTGCTAAGCCTAGCTGTGCAGACAGAAGCTGTGTCTGCCCAGTGTGGGAGCTCTGAACCACTGGACATGGGAATGCTGTTGTTTACAGATTCAGCATAAAAATGCAGAATCTGTAGAGGCCGGACCAGATTTGGATAACAGAAGTATTGTGGTTTCTGTTTGTAGTATAAATAGTATGATTTGCTAGCGTGTCAGAGAACATTGACTGTACACAGCAAATCAGTCTCTGTGGCGAGGAGAAGTCACAAAAAAAGTATTAGCTGTAATGCAATCCATGAACCCATTGTCACAAATCAAACAACTATTTCCTTTGATTCATGTTTTTGAATCTAAGGTTTCCCTCCTACGTTTAAAACATTATTCTGTCCACACACACTCAGTTTTCAAAAACATCTTTTTCCACATGGACACATGAAAACTCCTTGTCATGAGCATGCCAAGTCAACAATGATGTCCTTGAAATTGTCTCCCCATACCTATGCAATGACCATTTCATTATCAAGTTGTCCCACCACCCGAAGTCTGACCAGGTCTCGCCCAAAACCACAGATGTTGGCTGCAGGGTTTGTGTCATCGGAGTGTTGCATGAAGAAGCAGTGACCTCCGTAGTCCATTCAGGCATCTCTTTACATCAACATAGTGGTAGAGCAACTGTGTATGTACGTAAAAAGTCCAGTTAGCATTGTTAGCTAGCAGTAGTTTGGTTATGTCTGCTATTACGCTAATCTCATGCAAGTGACAGCGTTGCACAATGATGTCAAACGGAGGAGAAACTAGTGAACAGTGTGATGTCACAAGCCCAAAACTCTGTTGTCCCCGACAACACAAACATCTTAAACTGAGTTTATGAAGTTTTTTGCAGGAATGAGTTTTCCAAAAGATGCATTTTTATCAATCTAAACTGCAGCTTGCGTGTGTACGAAAGGCCAAAACGCAGAGAAAAATCAATGTTTTAAAACAATACCAGCCTACATTTGGACTAGGCCTGAACCGGAAGTCATTTATCACAAAATGCTGGCTACACCAGAAGCCCGAAAAGCTTTCTATTTCCCCACAGAGGAATACAGTAGTTCTTTTAGCTATGGATACCCACACTGGTGTGTTTTTGACTTTGCATTGTCAATGTATTCGCTGGGAGTTTCCTTTTAAAGCAATACAATACTGCTGCAGGTATTTCTTTTATCTGTCGCATGTTTATTTTCTGTATTATTTTTAAAATTATTATTATTTCTGTCAAAACAGGTACATAAGTCCAACTTTGACTGAATTATTTTACAGTAGTATGCACATTTCTCTTCCTGCCAATAATCCAGCTCCTTTTGCCCCTAAAGTCCTGCTGAGGAGAGAAATGTTTAATGTTGGTTTCCCATCCTTAAACAGACAAGAAGAAGAAATGCCACCCCCATTCTCTACTTTTACAGGTAGAACCAGTCAGTCTATGAGACGTACACATTCAGAATGATGCAGATGAAGATCATTGACATAAGGTCTGGCAAAACAAGTTATTCCGTAAAGCTTAACCCACCCCACACAATAAACTGTAAATAAGAAGAGGATGTGGACACCAGGATGTAACCCACTGCATAGTGCACTGCCGTTTTAAAGCGTCCTGTTTCAACATGACATCTCTCTCTGCTGCTGTTTGCTCTTCATTCAATTGAATAAAACTGTGTTAGGGATTGACAAGCTGCACGTTACTTCTATTTAAAGAATAAAATGCTTTGTAAGACTCAATGTTATAAGCTGATACCATGTCTGCTTACAGGTAAATGATAGTGTTAATACTGTCAGTCACACTTTATCTTGCCTCCGGTAACATAAGGTTTAGAATGTTCCCTTATGCTTCTTTTACTTTAGTATCTCTATTCTCTGGTATTCCTATTTTTTCACTATTGTCCTTAAAAACCCAGTACTGTCACAAGCTGTAGGCGAACAGGGAAACTGGATCTGAATGCAGGTAGGAAAAATATGAACAGGCAGGTTTATGAAGCACACAAAAATAAATTGAATTACAAACGAAGAGTATCTTACAAAAATTCTGGAAAGGCTGGCAGGTGAACAAACGTTCCAGGTACAAAACAGGCAGAACGTATGAGGAACCAACAGCAAAAACTCACATAATGAACTGGGAAAACTTAAAGTAGAATCTGGCTGGTTAAATGTCAGGGAGCTGAAAATGTGAAACAGGTGTGTGTGAAAAGAAGACAACAGGCTGGTAAACAGGTGAAACAGGCAGGCAATCAAACACACAAAAGGGAAACACACAAAGGCAGGAAACAATGGACGGCAAGACAGACAAGTGACAAGAACTACAAAGTAAAACAGGAAACACTAAACTGAGTCAGGACTTAGACATTATTCACAGGCCTCTACCCTCATGTTTTTAATGAAACATGCGGGTATAATGACCATCTAGAGAATGTAATCTGAGCATTGCAATGCAATAAATCAAACATGAACAACTCCTGAAACTCATGAATCATTTCATGTTATTTATTTTACAGCACCCTTTTGTCAGCGTTGACATGTACTACAGATAGAACAACATCCAGTCTTGAAGACTGTTTTCCACCATGAGAGACCGCTTAGAGGAACTCCTGCAGAGGGCTCAGGAGTTTTCAGAGGAAGCAAGTGAGAACACCAGCCCATTTTCAGCAGAAGGTGATAATGATGACTCTGTGGCGACCGGGGTCATAACGCCACAGGCCGTGGTGTTCGAGGAGGAACCAATCATTGAGAATTTCCTGTCCGAGGCTCAGCAAATCCGAGATGATATCACAGTGCTGGAAACAGAGGTGAATGCATCTATTTTTTATGCTCTTACCGTTTAAAGTGGGAAGCACTTTTTTATGAGCAATACTTCCACAAACCTCGACTGTTTCTGTTTTTCTCTTGTTTGTTTCATTATTTTTTACTTCAAAACTGAATTAATGAAAAATAAATTTTGACTGTAGTCTGCGTTCATTTGCTATATCTTGCTAAATGCTCAGTTGCCAATGTCAATTTCCCATGAAATTAAGGTCCTTAAGTTTGGCCAGCAGCAAAAGTCCCTGGTTGCAACCATGCGTCGTTTCAGTGTGATGAAGAAAGAGAGCAGTATAACCCGGGACATTAAGCTCCAGGCTGAAAGCCTCCATCGACGCTTAGAAGCCCTTTCAAAACAAGTCCAAAGGACTGAGGAGCAGCAGGGACCTACTGCTGCTACAACACGGATACAACGCTCCCAGCATGCAGCGCTATACCGCAAATTTCAACAGGTGGGGAAAAAGATTCTACCACTCTCGTCTGGCGTTTTCATATATAGCCTACAGTATGTTTTTTTTTTCCTTTAGCACAAGCCTTTCAGAACAAACCTCTCCAGCCTGTGATGTGTGTTTTATGTTTATTGGTGGTTTGACGCAGGATAAAAACATTAGCAATGTTTAGCTTGAGATGTTTCCAAAGTGTCTCAACATAATTTATGAATTTCTAACTGTAGAAATGTGTTTTGAGAGAATAACTATTATTACACATTTATAATTTAGAATATTGTCATGGTATTTGTAGTTGGCAGAAAAGAGAAAGAACAAACATATTAACATACTAATATAAATACACATATACAATTAAAACATTCAAATATGAATGGAATTATTTCCCCAGGACCAGCAGAGTAAATGCATTTCTCTATTTGATCAGTTTGCTTCATGTCTCTTTGTCCATGCTATACTGTACAGTTAATTCTTTAAGTTGCATAATATCTGTTTAACTGCTTTAACTGGCTAAAGTCCCAAACCTAAATTTTGCTTATGACAATAAAAAATAAATGAATCAGATATTGTCTCATCGTTCGTTTCCCCTCCCCCTCTTGATTTCCATTCTCTCTTTTTTTTCTGTACTAATGTCCAGGTAATGCTGCAGTACAATGAAGGTCTGCTGAGCAAGCAGGAACGCTGTAAGCACTTCATTATTCGGCAGATGGAGGTATCGGGGAGGGATGTGACGGAGGAGGAGGTGAATGAGATGGTGGACACAGGAAAATGGGACGTCTTCAATGAGAACCTGCTGAATGATGCCAAAATCACACGATCACAACTGTCTGAGATTGAACAGCGACACAAGGTAAAGCCAGCGCTACAACAAAGTTAGCACCTTACTTTATTAAACAGCCTATAGAGTGATGTGTCAAGCCTGATCATTGACACATCACATAAAATGTCCCCAAGATACAACTTTCTTCTAGGGCCTCAGCTAAATGTTACAACGCCCACTGCAGGCACTTACAAAGTATATTTTTTTGCATGCTATATGTAAGCAATTGGAAAATATTACTTTGTCACAAGACTGAATATCATGCTATGATATCTGTCATTTGATTTGTAATTTTTTTAAGGGTCTGGATACCTTTAAGATACAAAACACATTTCATCAAGCTCGCCATTCAATGTGATGCATGGTCCAAATTCTCAGAAAAAAAACATGCTGGCCAGCAGCCTAAGGGTGAAATATGCAATGTGAAATTAACTTCCTGACAGGTCATTGCACTAAAATGTTAATAAGCATTCCATTAGTAAATTGCACTCATTACATGGGACATTGTCTGGAGTTGCATTTATTTTATTTATTCATTTATTAGCACACATATACGAATACATCAAATAGGATTAACTAAAATATAAAAGGTGTGTCAGGAGAGGTCAAGAAGCCAACAGGCTTATACAAGGGACCTCACCTCTTAAGAGACAAATAAAACAACTAAGCAAATCGAATTACACAATTTCAAAACAGAATTGAATATACACACATATATACATGTATGCATACACACACACTTACACACATACATACAATAAAAAGACTGAATATTGAACCCGCCATCAGCTAAATGAAACAGGCATTAATCTGTTGAAAAGGTAGAGTGAATGAGTGAATTGATGGGAAAAAAATAAAAAGAATATATAGTCTGGAGTTGTATGATGCCATGATGCTCATAAGTTAGCATGGTAATCTTTACTATAACTATTGTCAACAACACATCTAAAATGAGTAAAGCAAAGGAAGGGAAATGGGAAAAATGAAAAGAAATTCATGTAAATTTAAAATGAGTGATGAAGACCAAATGTACTTTCATTTGCTGATGTATACAAAGATGTTTGTGTGTATTTTCACTAAATAAAGATGTGGATTTGTCTTGAGGTTTTCTATCTTCACCTCCAGCCTCTGATTTGTATTTTTGTATCCAGTAGTACTTATCCCATTCTTCCTCTTTTCCAACAGGAGTTGTTAAGCCTGGAGAACAACATAAAGGAGCTGAGAGACCTGTTCATGGACATATTCATGCTGGTGGAGGAGCAGGGGGCCCACATTGATCATATTCAGACCAATGTGGAGAGGACACAGGATTATGTGGCTGCCTCTAATGAGAAGTTCAAGTTGGCTGCCAGGTACAAGAAGAAGAACCCACTACGACAGCTGTGCTGCTGCTGCTGTCCTCCATGGAAATGTTGCTTGTAAAGAGTATGCTTTTTTTTTTTTTTTTTTTTTACCTCAATGGTCAACCCAAATATGGTTTTATTTCAAAAGTCTACCTGCAGACTTACTGATGGGGGCTTGAAAGTACCATTAAAGTGAAGGTTATGGAACTGCAGGATCTGCAGTGGTGGAGACAGACTCACCAGAGCATGGAAAACAATTAGGAGGAAAGGCCAGAATTGGTATTTGAAGCACTTGTTTCTTTCAAGTGGATGTGGGGGGACTGCTATTGGAAGAGACAGTTCACTGAGTGCTGCTCACCACCACTGCTGCTTATTGGAGACCTTCACTGTCATCTGACGGAGGTCACAGACAAGGCCGGACCACTGCCTCTGCTAGATCAGCAGATATTTCAACATGTTTTTGTTTTTTTCCCAAAAGAGCCTTTCCATGTTTTTTCCTCCCTACCATGAAAGCTCAAGTTGATGACTATTTGTTATTTATACAGCACTTTAAGACTTTTTTTCTCTTCTCTTTTCAGCTCAAAGATATATTTCACAAAGTGAAGAAAGATTGTCTTTCCTTGAGTCTTTCCTTTGTACTTCATTTTTTGATCCACTTGAAAAATAGAATGTTTTAACAATTACTCATTAGTTTCATTTGCGTTTCAAAGTATGATCATGTTCTCTGAGAAAAATATTATCCCTTTTATTCCATTTCAAAGAGGCAGGGAGTCAAGTAAAACTCTGAATAACGAGCCTTGATCACAATATACTGTCAAGACACTAGACTGAACTGCAAAACTATAAAAAAAAGAAAAGATGGGAGATTTGTAGTCATGCATTTTAGGAACTATTTGATTGCTCAACAAGCCTTGTGGAAGTATATTGGAAAGGTTAGAGATGTTATGATGGCATAATGTATAATTACTATGTCGCTCAAAATGGTATCAGTCAATTAATCAATCAATCAATCAATCATTATTTGTTTAACCCCAATAACAAGTGTTGTTGATGAAACTGTCAAAACAAAGTGGTGGCTGGGCGTCAGGCGGTGGTTGTTGGATGAAACAGTTTGATGGTGGTGGCTGGGCGTCAGGCGGTGGTTGTTGGATGAAACAGTCAAAAAGTGGTGGCTGGGCGTCAGGCGGTGGTTGTTGGATGAAACAGTCAAAAAGTGGTGGCTGGGCGTCAGGCGGTGGTTGTTGGATGAAACAGTCAAAAAGTAGTGGCTGGGCGTCAGGCGGTGGTTGTTGGATGAAACAGTCAAAAAGTAGTGGCTGGGCATCAGGCGGTGGTTGTTGGATGAAACAGTCAAAAAGTAGTGGCTGGGCATCAGGCGGTGGTTGTTGGATGAAACAGTCAGATGGTGGTGGCTGGGCGTCAGGCGGTGGTTGTTGGATGAAACAGTTCGATGGTGGTGGCTGGGCGTCAGGCGGTGGTTGTTGGATGAAACAGTTCGATGGTGGTGGCTGGGCGTCAGGCGGTGGTTGTTGGATGAAACAGTTCGATGGTGGTGGCTGGGCGTCAGGCGGTGGTTGTTGGATGAAACAGTTCGATGGTGGTGGCTGGGCGTCAGGCGGTGGTTGTTGGATGAAACAGTTCGATGGTGGTGGCTGGGCGTCAGGCGGTGGTTGTTGGATGAAACAGTTCGATGGTGGTGGCTGGGCGTCAGGCGGTGGTTGTTGGATGAAACAGTTTGATGGTGGTGGCTGGGCGTCAGGCGGTGGTTGTTGGATGAAACAGTTTGATGGTGGTGGCTGGGCGTCAGGCGGTGGTTGTTGGATGAAACAGTCAAAAAGTGGTGGCTGGGCGTCAGGCGGTGGTTGTTGGATGAAACAGTCAAAAAGTGGTGGCTGGGCGTCAGGCGGTGGTTGTTGGATGAAACAGTCAAAAAGTAGTGGCTGGGCGTCAGGCGGTGGTTGTTGGATGAAACAGTCAAAAAGTGGTGGCTGGGCGTCAGGCGGTGGTTGTTGGATGAAACAGTCAAAAAGTAGTGGCTGGGCGTCAGGCGGTGGTTGTTGGATGAAACAGTCAAAAAGTAGTGGCTGGGCATCAGGCGGTGGTTGTTGGATGAAACAGTCAAAAAGTAGTGGCTGGGCATCAGGCGGTGGTTGTTGGATGAAACAGTGCGATGGTGGTGGCTGGGCGTCAGGCGGTGGTTGTTGGATGAAACAGTTCGATGGTGGTGGCTGGGCGTCAGGCGGTGGTTGTTGGATGAAACAGTTCGATGGTGGTGGCTGGGCGTCAGGCGGTGGTTGTTGGATGAAACAGTTCGATGGTGGTGGCTGGGCGTCAGGCGGTGGTTGTTGGATGAAACAGTTCGATGGTGGTGGCTGGGCGTCAGGCGGTGGTTGTTGGATGAAACAGTTCGATGGTGGTGGCTGGGCGTCAGGCGGTGGTTGTGGCTTCAAACCAGCTGAAAATCTCTTACTTGAGCAGGAATCAGCACCATGAACTTATATCCTGCTAATATGCTGTATAACTGATCAATAGTAAACCTGTTGACATTTTTCACCTTCACTTTGAGTTGACCTGAAAACACTAACTCATTCCCCTCTGTGGATAAGGACTAATAAAACCAGTAAAATGAGGCAGTAAATTAATTTCAGGAGAGAAAACCATTTCATATTTGATCTGACTTACTGGCAGAGCGGCTCTTTACCAGCCTCTCGTTGACAGTGATGTTCTCTGGTGAGTCAGTGACCTGTGGTGTCTGGTGTCCAGGCCAAAATACAGGTGACCTGGGTGTTCACGAGAGAGACTGGAAAATCCTGTTTGTCTGCTACTCCCAAGTTTGCTTCATGACAGCTATATTTGTTCTTACAGAGAGCAGTGTGTGAACAGAACTGTTAACATCTTCACAGATTATTAAAAGGACCTATTTTTGAGAAACATTTAAAATGTAAGTATTCCTTTTAAAAATATTTTTTTGCTTTTGGATTGAGTAGAATGGCTGACAGACACACTACAGCTAAAAACATTTGTGTAGGCATTTTGGTTATATCTCCAGGGATTGACATGTTATACCTGAAATCACTGCCTGTCAATGTAGTGCTTTATTTAGGTCAATGTATTTACACCGTTCCCCTGGGTCTAGTTACAAAACAAGGTGACATGTGTTAGATGAGATATTATCTGACTGGAAAAGTCTTCCCCTGAATCTTCTGTTTGGTACAGACAAGCCTCACTCTGATTAGAATGACATTTTGAAACCAAGACATACATGAATCAAATATGCAAATGTGAATATGTAAATCAAATAACAATACATTGTAATGCAGCAGGGCAGCAGCGTTTCTGTCAGACGTAGTTAGGACAAATGAGCTACTGCTGCAAATTGAAGGGTTCTTGAACAGCAACAATGCCATCCAGTGTTCACTGAGATAATTGCCAGTTAAAAAAAAGGCACTTAGTGTTTGAACACTTAAGGGGGATATTACAATGCAGAATAGTGTACATGTTGCAAGTGTTGTATGCGAACACAAAAATAACACAGCATGATTTTATGCCAAAAAAATCTTTGAACAGAAAAATGTGTGGCTGTTGTCAGTTTTGTGAAGCTCTTAAAAAAGCACATAGAGGTCATGTTTCTCAAAAATGGAAAAGAACTTCACAACTTAACATATACGAATGTGTTGTCAAATTGCCTAAGAAAAGTCATTTTAACATTGATCCACAGCTATACTTGCTCCTTAGAATAAAAAGTATTATGTATTTATATTATCTCTATATATATGTTCCACAAAATAACCCATTTTCCATTTTTACTTTAATGAAAACATAAAATCAATCACATTCCGCCTTAGAAATCTTGCCAACCCTTTGTGTCAGTTTTAAATTTTTAATATGTATATTATGAAGGTCTTGTCAATTTAAATCTAAAAATGTAGAACAGATAAAATCTCTTTCAGACAAAAGCAAATGTATTACAGTCTGAGTGGCCATAATAAATTAATATGCAGCTTGTTAATATCCGCCATCATCATGAAAAAATATTCAAGATGATTTGTGATGGGCTTCTTCTTGATATTCTGCAGGGATGCAGGAGTCTGCTGTCCTGAGAGGAAGCCTCCTGGGATAGATATCAGCCGTCCTTGAGATCACCGGGCCATGGGAGACTGCACAGTGCTCAGTTCAGAAACCTTTTTACATCTGACCCAGAGGCAGGTCATCCAGAGTCACCCACATTTCACCCACAACCTTCTCTCTCTCCGTCTCTGTCTCTCTCTCTGTCCTCGCTCTCTTTTCCCAGCACCACCGCACGTAGCATTCAAGCAGCTACACACTTAGGGGGTAGCTGCAAACAACAGTTGTGTGATGTGTATACGTTCCACGGTGGATTCATCTTATTTACCTCCTGCTCCAATGTTGTTATCTGTAATTTCATCTGAAACCACCTTGCCTTGAAGCCATTCAGGAGCTTGTTCCTTGATGGATCAGATTTGACCTTTGACTTCAGGGATCATCATTGTGTTTTGACCAGCAGCTCAATGGACTTGAGTGTGCACTTTTCTAGTCTTCTGAACACTCAAATCACTTTTTACACCTCAGATCACACATGTCCATTCACACAGCCTTTAAGAGATTATTTTTTATGACTGATGATCTGGTTATTTGATGAGATCTAGACAATATTTTGCATTATGATGCAGTACAAATGTTTAAGCTTCATTGTAATTCATTGACAGTTTACATTATCCTTATTTATGGGCCTAATACATAGAAACAACATTTCCTAAAAAAATAATATTTGTAGTGGCTGTGTATTGAACATCTAAAAAAGTTTTTTTTAAAAAGGTAATGACTAAAGGCAATACAACAAATTGTGTTTTTACTTTCCTCTTTTCTTTAGTTTTTATTTACTTAGGAACTCATGTAATCTATTTTTATATATCCTCTTACTCCACGTTCAGCAACACATCCACATGTTTATTGTGGACCTCTGGCCTCTTTCCACACGAAAGATCAATCAATGATTTAACAATAATGTGAACATCAGAGACACACCAGAGTTTGCGACGCTAATCGTGGCTCGCAGAGATGCAGTGACGTCTGTGTGTGACTATGTATTCTTCGTTG